TCTTAAAATAATTGAATCAATGACATCTTTTGCCTCATATGCCACATCTAAAGCACGTGCCCACAGATTTTTGTACAATTCTTGCTCAACATTCATCAAGAAATATCTTATGAATTCTAGATATTCTTTCATCAGCTTGATTTCTTCCTTTATCAAAGCAACCGAATAAGCATTGGAATTGAGCAAACCATTTAAGTGTCTAAGTTGAAGATGGATGAACAGGGGTCCATCACTCATGGGAAAGCAGAGTTGAGATGAGTCCGGGGCTTTCAGGTAAATATCTTTGAGTTCTCTCTTCAGGAGTTCAATATTTTCGAGCAAGCCTAGAGTTGCACTGTTTGTTTCATTGGTAATCTCTCCATTCCTTGATTTCTCTTCTAAGTCACGAGCAATAGTTGATATGTCCCTGGTAAGTGCTCCAACACGTGCAAGGAATTCAAACAACTTGCCATTATGAATAGAGTCCTTAGGCAGATCAGTGAGAATGATTAATAGGAACTCTACCATGACATGAACGTTTCGAGCCCCTGAAGTGTTAGCGGTAATTACATTCACCATGTGCTCTTGTAGATGAATCAAATATTCCCTAAGAATGTCTGGATAAGTTTCTAGGAGCTGCTTAATGAAGCATCCAACTTCTGTTGACATTGAAGCTCTCAAACTTGTATAACATATGTGCATAACCTCCAGCTCAATTGGAATAATCTTCAAGAGTGGATGTGCTAGTTTGAAGAGTCGAGAGTCTCCATCAATCCGATCATTCCAAAGGAAGTGTCCAACTCTCTCAGCCATAGGTTGAAACTGAGGTAAGACACTTTCAACAATATCATGCTCAACGCAACCATTCACTATCAACCCATGGAAATCACTTATGTTGCCACATACATTCTGAAGAATCTCATATTCAGTCATTAAAGGAAAAGCCTGCTCAGAACAATACTTGGATAGATGGTGGAGACTCAAGAGGAGGAAGTGCAAATGCTCCTGAGTCATGGTGGCACTTGATTCAGAACGACGATGTGAGCTGATATAAATATTATACCTGAGGCAAGGAAGGACATGATGCATGCCATATTTAAACAACACGTTGCGGCCA